ATATATATATATATTGGTATTGGAGACGTTAACAGAGAAGATAACAGTATTGGAGACTATAACTAAGACGATAACGATTATAGAGACGATAACGATACTGGAGACAATAACAGAGACTATAACGGTATTGGAGATAATAACAAAGACGATACCGGTTTCAGGAGACGATAACAGAGAAATTGACGATGTCATGTAAATGAACGGCTGAAGTGATTAAAAAGTTTTCAGTTTTTACATGCACTAGCTCTTCTGACATCTTTATTAGCCTCTTTATTATCGTAATTCATGAGAACAAGCAAAACGATTTCTATGCATTTGTTTGTAAACCTATTCTTACATGAATGGTTAAAATGAATTTAATTAAACACAGCAGTTTATGTAAGAATCATTTAACACAAAAGTGCATGAGAGTCTTGACTAACGCTTACATGTTTTCAGATAGTTTGATGCTAGCATGTTTCTAAGCTAATGGTATGCGACCCTAGTCAAATATTGCATAAAATTGTCCCTTTTAATCAATAGTTTATGGGATATAATGAAAATCCATGTGTATTCCGGGATGACCAGCTGAAGTATAGCTAACATAGCAGGATATCCTTAAAAACTTCCCACTAAGAATGTCTTTCAAAGACTCAATGCCATGAATATCACAAACGTCTTCAAATACAGTGAGTTTTTCTTCCTCACAAATGTTCAATGTATCAACCTGCTAACTTTGAAATTGTGTCCAGGTGGACTGACAAAACTTGACATTGAATAAAATTATTAAAGTCAGCCAATCCGGTTGGAGCGTGTGAATTATATGTAATTTTTATGTTCAATACGTAATCTGAACTGCAGTGGACACATGATGCATGAATCTGGTCTAGACCAGTTTATATGTGACAAGTCTGTGGTTTGGAACAGCTAATCGGTATTTATTATTAAGGCTGTAAAGAAATGAAACTTATTCTAATTACATAATGTGCTGATTAATAAATCGAATTAATTGCAAATTAATCTCACATCAGTCTGAGAATATGCCCCCCCCCCACCCCCCCAAAAAAAAGATCACTTGAAGTCATTATTGTGTTAGATGAGAAAAGCATTGGTAGACATTATAACTTGAAACTAAAAAACTAAACTAAACTAAAAGTGAAACTAAAAGTGCCAGTAGGTGGCGGTCTTTATGAATGAGTCACTAAATCATTGACTCACTTGATTTATTTAAACAGCTGATTCAGTCAGAAATTAAGCAATTGACTGTCTTTATGAATAAGTCACTGAGTCATTGGCTCACTCGATTCGTTCAGTCGACTGATTCATTCAGAAACAAAGCAAGTGTGACTGTCTTTATGAATAAGTCACTGAGTCATTGGCTCACTCGATTCGGTCAGTCGACTGATTCAGTCAGAAACTAAGCAAGTGTGACTGTCTTTATGAATAAGTCACTGAATCATTGGCTCACTCGATTCGTTCAGTCGACTGATTCAGTCAGAAACGAAGCAAAGTTTGACTGTCTTCATGAATGAGTCATTTAATTTTTTGGCTCATTCGATTCGTCCAAACAGCTGATTCATTCAGAAACGAAGCAAGTGTGAGTGTCTTTATGAATAAGTCACTGAGTCATTGGTTCACTCGATTCGTTCAGTCGACTGATTCAGTCAGAAACGCAGCAAGTGTGACTGTCTTTATGAATGAGTCATTGAATAATTCACCCACTCGATTTGTTCAAAACAACGCATTCATTTAGTAAAAAAAATAAAAAATTGGTGCTTTGCTCTGAGACCTGGAACTGCTCTGCTGTGGCTTTGTTTGGAACTATTTTCGTTGGCGGAATTACACAAAAATAGACAATACTGTGTGACACAATATTAACTTCATGTTAATTGAACTATCAAATCAATATCACATTTGCAATCATACAGATATTCGGGAAAAACAGCACTCATACTCATGTGATATTGCTGAACTAAATCATATGATGTAAATATAAGACAAAAACTCATACAGGGGCATTTTCTGCCCTCATATCTTGAATTTCAGGGCATATAACTGCATTCTCATAGGCTATATCATACAGTCAGTCGTCCTGCATCATGTTCATCAGTAAGTGCATCAGTGTAAGACGATGGACAGGTCTGGGTGGGACGGGTTTTTCCGTAATTAAACACACCATATTAGTGTATTAAATCGACTACTTCTTCTTATTATGTTTGACTTCACCAGCAGAGAAACGGACGGGAAGCGTGAGGCAGATAAAGCGTGCTCTTTGATGCAGTCGGTATGGAGAGCAGTGGGTGTTTTTTTAATGATGTCCGTGTTTGTCAGGATGAATGATCCCCTGTGTTTCTCCCCGCAGTCAGCCGTCTGTTTAAAAATAGGTTTGACTTGGGCGAAGAGAAACTCTCGCCGTCCTGAGGCTCCTATCGCTCTGAGGACATTATGCGGCGTGAATAATCGCCAGCGTTATTAAAGTTTCCGCGGAGTTAAAGAGCTTCGCTCTGACGCTGTTTTCTCCAGACCTGCGTGTAGTTTGTCTTCAGACACACAGAGAACAAAGCCCTTTCATTCAGACGTTGTGTGTGTATTAATATTACACACAGGGTCCAAAATTAACAATACAATACAAGAAACCCAGTGCCAGTAAAACCTGGCTTTGGAGAGTAAATGAAATAGTTGGTCAATAACTTTGTTAGGAACTGCAACATTTAGGCTGTTGATTAATTCATTGAGGTAGTATTTATATACTATAATAGTGTATTTATTAACATTTGAATTAGCTTTCATGTTTATCTTTTCAGTATTTATTTAAATGTCTTAGTAATTTTGTTATGTGCTTAAACTATTTTATTTTAGCTTCATTTCCATTTTTAGTTTTCCATTTTTCAATGTGATAGCTTCATTTCTTTTCTTTAAACCTTCTTGTTTGTTGGTTTTTGATCCAAACCTTTTCATAAAAATAATGTTTTTGTTTTTTTTGCATTTGGTGATCTTAAAGTTTTCATTTTGGACCCTGGATGTTATTAATTGACTTAATCAGCAAAGCATGCAATTGGTTAAAATGTAAGGATTTTAAGGATGATTCATTCAAATACCAAGATTATTTATTGATCTGTTTGTTTTCCAAACATCTAATAAACCATTTAATAAAAAGCAAATTTTCATTATCGGTCAGTATAAATATTGTAAAATATAAAATTTTTCTCAATTCATTCATTGACAAAAGTAAATTGATTGTTTCTTTGTTTTTTTTGCCAGTTTTAATTTTAGATGATAGATGTTATTAATTTACTTCATCAGCAAATCATGCAATTACAATTTGACAATCTAAACATAATATATTTTAAGTCAAATTTCAAACTGCACAACTGTATGTATATGTATTTATTTATTTATTTTTATTTTATTCATTTAATTTTATTTTATTGATTCAAGCCATTTAATAAACCATTCAATAACAATCCAAAGTCCAGTTTTATTGCTGCTCAAAAAATGCTCTCAATTCATCCACTATTAGCAAGTAAATGCTGGATCCTGACAACACACACACATTCACAGCACTGCTTCTGGTTTCTGTGGAGTAATATGTTCCTAATTAAAATGTATGTGTTCAGCAGTCACTTTCATCCAAGGCTTACACTGCGTTCAAAGTAAACATGTATCAGTTTAATCAAACCCATCATCTAAGTTCTTCTTGTGACTGTCACTGTACTGTCTGAGCTCAAAATTAATTAACTTGGCTTTTAAGAGTGTCATTTTTCAGATCGGGATGCCCGAGCGAGGAGCACAAACACCTGTTTCCATGCGTCTTCTGAGAAACTCACACTTCGTTTCCACCCACAATTCTGCAAACTTGACTTTACACTGCCGCTGCGATCAGCGCGCGTCACACTCACACTTTCTGACGAGGCCGTCACACTCTTCATGCTAATTAATCGAAGCGGTAATTTTAAACTCAATCTGCCTTTGAATTTCACAGCTGGTGATTCGAGCTTCAGATCACTGATGTAAAAGATGTCAGCTCTGTGTGAGGTGTCTACATCTTCAGCTCATCCTCTTGAGTGAGCGAAATATGCTACGTTAGGGTTCTTGTGCAAAACAGTGAACAAATAATGATCACGATACTCTAATAAAATGCATCGCACACACAAATATTAGGTGAAATTGTGGAGTTTTAATTGCATGCAACTGTTCTTATTTATCCTTTTCAGGATTTAAATGTGTTATTTTAGTATTATTTAAATACTATCATAGTGTTTATTAATATTATGAAGTAAACGTTTTAGTAATTTCTTTGTATGATTTTGTCTTTTTTAATTTCCTATTTAGCGATAATTTATTTTTTATTTCAGTTTAAGTTTTAGTAATTTTAATACTTCAACTTCAACTTATTTCATTTAGTTGTGTTAGGCAAAAATTCAAAGTTTTTAGTTTTAAGTTTTGATTACATGCGATGCAACTATCTTATTGATCTTTCGTTGTGTTATTTTAGTATTATTTATATACTATTAAAGTATGAATTAATTTCTTGAAATAGCTTATTTAAGTTTATTACTTATTATTATATGTTGTGTTTTAATTTTCTACTTCAGCCTAAAATGATTTATTTAATTTAGTTGCTATGGCAACATTTCTCATTTTCATTTAAGTTTTAATTGCATGCAACTATTCATTACATGCAAATTACATTTTCAGTGTTGAATCAATGATGTTTTAGTATTATTTTAGAATATATTATAATATATTATTTATATAGTATTATAATGTGTATTTTACTTTTATACTTTCATTTTTTAGTTTGAGTAATTAGTTTAGTTTATTTATTTCAGTTTGTTGCTAAAGCAACATTACTACTTTTTGCTTACATCTAATAGTTCTGCATCTAATATTTTTATTTGATTTCATTTAATCTTCATTTCAGTTACTGTAAACATATTTTCATTGTTTTATTTTCCGCTAACAGTAGCAACACTGATTGAAATGACACATAACTGCATTTATAATCATTGTCTATGATCAAAATAGCAAATCGTTGACTCTTTATTTGGTTGTAATGCAAAAATTAATCATGTTATTTCCAAAATGCTAGCTGGACGTCACTCATTCGTTTCCCAAAGCATCATGATATACAGTCAGCAACATGAGTGAAATATATTGTGTCGGTGGTGAATAATGAATATATTTTTTGGAAATCCAAGCCAAATAAAATATTTTATGCACTAGTTCAAAAGTTTGGGGCCAGTAAAGAAGTCTCTTCTGCTCACCAGGGCTGCATTTATTTGATCAAAAATGCAATAAAAATAGCAAAATTGTAAAATATTATTGCAATTTCAAACAGCTGTTTTCTATGTGAATATCTGTTAAAATGTAATTTATTTCTGTGTTCAAAGCTGAATTTTTTCATTCAGTCTTTAGTGATCTTCAGAAATCATTCTAATATGCTGATTTGCTGCTCAACAAACAGTTCTGATTATTATCAATGATGAAAACAGTTGTGCTGCACAATATTTTTGAGGAAATTGGGACACATTTTATTTTTCAGGATTCACAGATGAATAGAAAGGTCAAAAGAACAGCATGTATTTGAAATAGAAATCGTGTGCAACTTTATAAATGTCTTTACTGTCACTTTTGATCAATTTAATGCATCCTTGATAAATAAAATTATGAATTCTTTGCCAAAAAAAAAAATATATTTTTTTATTTTCTTCCTTTCTTATGTAATTTCTTTCTTTCAGAGCCTGAAAGCAAAGCAAACGAGAAAATGATAGAAACATAAGAAATGACAAAATAACAGCAGAAACAATAAAACAGCAACACTGTCATAACCAGACGTGATACAACCAGATTCTGTCCACATCACATGTTACGCGGTTATAAAACCAATCACAAGTCACAGCCGGTACATAATCAAATTCATAAAAATAATAGTTTTAGAATTATTCAAAACTCATGCAGTGTTTGTCCGGGAAAACACTTGAGCTCCGTTTGAACGTTCTCGTTTCCTTTTCCATTTATTTTCAAACTCTGAGTTAAATGATCCATCGTATCTTTCATCATGGCCATTAAAGCCACACAAAATATTATTCAAACTCAAATGAAACCTTTTCTGATGTTATTGAAACTCAATCAGCACCTGATCTGTCAGCTGTGAAGTTATAGAAGTAGAAACCATTAGAACTATGACCACTGAACGACTCTGAAATGCCACTCTCAGAGAAAAAAAAAAAAGCTGTCACAGGGACGCCACCTTTTCAAAAGGTACAAAAATGTACCATTAAAATACAAATATTTACACTGGAGGTACTAAGATGCACTCTTGAGAGTGTATGGAAGTAATTTGGTGCCAATTATAACCAACCACTGATCCAACAAACCATATGAAGGCATTTTCTGTATTGATTTTTACCTGTATTTTGACTTATGAATTGCATTTTGTTGTTGAATTTACCATATGTGACACTGGACCACAAAACCAGTCATAAGAGTCAATTTTTCGAATTTGAGATTTATACATCATCTGAAAGCTGAATAAATCTTAACTCTTAACATTAATCATCTATTTGAAAATCTGGAATCTGAGGATGCAAAAAAATCCAAATATTGAGAAAATCATCTTTAAAGTTGTCCAGATGAAGTTCTTAGCAATGCATATTACTAATCAAAAATTAAGTTTTGATATATTTACTGTAGGAAATTTACAAAATATCTTCATGGAACATGATCTTTACTTAATATCCTAATGATTTTTGGCATAAAAGAAAAATCGATAATTTTGACCCATACAATGTATTGTTGGCTATTGCTACAAATATACCCCAGCGACTTAAGACTGCTTTTGTGCTCCAGGGTCACATATGTCCTTCCAGTTCCTTTCTACTGAATTTCTCTTTCAGCGATCGTCTCTCTTTTGAGCAGGGCCAAATTCGTGCCAAACTGGATTCATCTTTTCCTCTGGGTTCAGTAGGATGTGATTTATGTGCTTCCAAAGGCTCTTTCACACCAGACACCAATGCGGTTTTCAATGGAAACTATGGATTCCTGTGGAGCTCTTCACAACATTCGCTTTGTAGATTCAACAGATTCTGTGCAATAATTAAATAAAAGTTGAAATAATACAGATACAGCATTAGCCTTGCACCAACTACGCTTCGTTGTGTTCGACTGTGAAAGACCTTGAGACTGTGGTATTTTCTGCTTGATACTAAAGTGCTTCTCTTTGGGTTTTCAGCTGCAGAAAAGGGAGCGCTCGTGTCGATATTTCGTCCAGGTATTTTCCTCTTTATATTTGCACCGCTTTCATCCTCACGTCGCATGCTTTTCTCTTCATTCGCACCCCAGCTCATGTTCCTTGTGTTTTTGTGAGGTCCTGTTGTTGTCATTTGAGGCCTTGACCAAATGTAACCTCCACCTTTGCAAATAACTCCCATAATAATCCACTCGCTCTTAAACGCTTGCATGAGCGAACGCAGCCTACGATCACGGGAACACGCTTGTGAAAAGAAGTGCACTTAAGCATGCTTTTAGTGCAGAAATTATATACTTAAGTGTGAACTGTTAATTGCAATTAAATTAAAATGTATTATAGTTTCGGTTTATATTAAAAATGCAATTAGTTCAACTTTAAAGTGTTTTTGACCTACTGAAGTAGGACTTGACTACAGCTGTACAAGTAATTTCATAATTACTTCTATTGTCTTTTGAAATATGGTTAAAGTACTGCTGAATGTACTGACACGCATTTATGGTAAGCTAAAATATGCTTTGATATAATTTCTGTTGAAACTTGTGTGTCATGCATTTAAGTCTAGTTGCAATTTAGTAGATGTAGGCCCGGTTTCACAAACGGGGCTTAGCTTAAGCCAGGACTAGGCCTTAGTCAAATTAAGATATTTAAGCGACTAAGAAAACATTACAAGTACATCTCGACACAGAACAATGACACCGATATATTTTAAGATATGTCAGAGCAAGATATTTTCAGTTGAGACAGCTCAAACATGTATTTTAGTCTGGGACTAGCTTAAGCCTTGTCTGTGAAACCGGGGGTTAAAATATATTGACTTTAAATATAATATTGTATAACACACTACAGTTAAAATGATAATTAAGTACTTTCCATGTGCTTTAGTATGTTAGTCATCACATCAAAATAAGGTGTGTATTTCTTTAAAACGCAATGATTTAACAATGATTTACTTTTTTTTGACATGCTTACAAAATGCACTTTTTAAGTGCACTTAAGTGTGTTCAGAAACAGTCATAAAAATGTCTCTCTTTAAGTGACTTAAGTGGCCTTTTATTTCATTAATATTATATTTTCAGCAAGTGCAGTTTATTAAAAATACACTTTTTTAAGATTTGAAGTACACTACAAGTGTACACATCACTACAGTTAAGCGCACTTATTTTTCACAAGGGCAAATGAAATTATCGGTCAGCTACTAATTGTATTATTAGGTAATGATCGATTTTTGTTCTTGGCCTCATTATTACCCGTGACTGTGTTTTTGCATCAACGAGAGCAGCTGTGCTTATTATCTTTTGAATAAACCGGTTTTAGGTCACGTTTGTAAGCTATAGGTTAGAATGAATTCAGTGTTGTTCAGAAATGCAGGCTTGAGAAGCACAGCTGCTCTCAGATCAGCAGTCGCCTGCAGCTCTTTGCTTGAGCTCTGTCAGGTCATGTGACCGCCAGCCTTCCCAGCATGCACTTGACGATTGTTGAGCGACAGCTGTTTTGACAGAGGTCAGAGGTCAAGTAGACTTGATGAAGTGCGTGTTGGATGTGACGTGTGTTAGTTGAGATGTCCGAGATCATGAGTGTTGCTGAAGACGCTGCATCTGTTTGACTTGTAATGCGTTTTCAGACGAGAGCTTATAGTGTGAATCCAAATCTGTCTGGTTGGCTTCAATTCACTTGAACTGAACCTTTGATATGGCCTCAATACAGAACGTAACTTGCGTACATGATGGTGTAACATGTATAGGTGACTTATAGAGTTAGCAGGCTACGTCACTCTGTGAAGATTATTTCCAGATCTACTCCGTGTGTATGATTTAGTTTGAACCAGTGTTATTTTAATATTATTTACATGATTTTATAGTTTTTGAAATAGGTTTTATTTGTATATTTTCAGGTTTCTTTTTAATTTTAGGTTCATTTTTAGTTCTGTTGTTGTGTGCCATTTCTATTAGTTTTTGTTCTTTTTAAATATTACGATTTAGGCTTGTTTGTTTATTATTTATTTATTTATTTGTTTGTTTATTTTTTCAGTTTAAGTTTTTTTTCTTTTACTAATAATATTAGTAAATAGAAATTTTAGTTCATTTATTTAAAATGAAAATTTATTTTAAATATTTATTTAAAAATGTAAAATCTTGTATTAGTTTTAGTTAGCGATAATAACACTGGTTTGAACTTGTGTTCACTTGAATTCAGTTTATGAAGTCATAATCGAATAAATAAATAAAATATAAATCCACATCTGTATACTAAAGGATATAAGAAATAAATTAAGAAATTAATACTTCTATTCTGCGAGGATGCATTATATTGATAAAAAAAAAGACAGTAAAGACATTTATAATGTTACAAAACATGTCCATTTTAAATAGAGGCATCAAAGAAAATTGAAAATAAATTTTTAAAGAAAGCATTTATTCTGAAAAATAAAGTTTGATAATATATACAGTATATATGTATGTGTTCAAGAATGAATTAAACTGATCAAAAGTGACAGTAAAGACAGAATGTTACAAAAGATTTATATTTCAAATAAATGCTGTTGTTTTGAACATTCTATTCTTCAAAGAATCCTGAAAAATGTATCACAGTTTACGTAATAATCAGAAATGTTTCTTGAGCAGCAAATCAGAATGATTTCTGAAGATCATGTGACACTGAAGACTGGCGTAATGATGCTGAAAATACAGCTTTGATCACAGAAATAAATTACAGTTGAACATATATTCACATAAAAAAAACGTATTTTAAATCATAATAATATTTCACAGTTTTTACTGTGTTTTTAATCAAATAGATGCAGCCTCGGTGAGCAGAAGAGACTTCTTTCAAAAACATTACCAGCAGTGTATATGTATCATAAAATCCAGATTCAAAGCTTTTTAACAATTAATGACAAATTTGTCAATTTTCAGTGAATTGAACTCAAGTTTTGTTCAAGCGAGCATGACAACATCGCATAAGTGCTAGCTCTTTCTTTGTACGTGTTATGTTTGTCAGAAAACGCCTCACACACAGCGATGAGAAAAGCTTTGGTCTGTTATTCCTGATGCTAAGGATGTGATGTGCAACAGTCGCTGTGGACGGGAAGAGCAGTGCATTGCCACTGAGAGCCGAGAAGCGCAGAGAGTTTGATTATTTTTGTTTCGTGCTCCAGCGCAGAGTTTGACTTATTAATAACAGTGATGGATCGATACCCGACCTGATCCCGCGTTAAGAATAGATTCCTAGCGCTGTGTTCAGAAACCAAAGCTCGGGTACAGAGTGTGTTTTTCTGAGGAGAAATAGGTTTGATGTTGAAACTATTGATGCCCTTTCACGATCAATAAACGGCCCGCAACAAACTGAGCCGCTGTTGTTCTGAAGGAAAGAGATGTTCATGCGTTTGGAGAGCTGCGGCCCGTCTGGATGAAAATTACAGGGTTATTCTGTATATTTCTCAGTCTGTATGCCCACTGAAGCCTTCCTTTCCAGTTTACACAAAAGGTTATTATTGAGAACACGGGGGATATTATTATATAAAACAATGAAGAGAACAGATTGATTAATTTCTTCGTCACTGTTAAACGTGGTATTGTATGCTGCCAAACATTGTTGATAAGTCTATAAAAGCATCTGCTGAATGCATAGATATAAATGTGTTTATACACTTCTAATATGCAAATAGCATCTGTTTTCTGTTGCGCTTAAATAGCTGCTCAAGTGGAAATTGCAATCATGACCAAATGATGTTGTTCTAAACCCATAGGACTTTCTTTGATGCAAGGATTGCAAAAGGAGAGATTTTGAAGAATGTCCTTGCTGCTCTTTCCCCAAGCAATTGTATTGAGACCAAAGCTTCAAAAGGAGGCACCTTAAAAGCAGCATATGCAATTAGTCTATATGAAATTATATTTAATGTCTTCTGAAAGGATTTGACAGATTTGTCAGAGGAAACGTATTTTTTGCTGTGCTGAAAATCCTTTACCTAATTTGGTGTTCAAAAATGACCAGCCTTTTAGAAATCGCTTATCAATTTATTATGCTATATTATCACCGAATCTCGGATTCAATGTTTTTGTCAACTTGTTTTGTTTCAGTTAACACAGGCTTTGTGTTTCATTTTGGAACTGAAAAAAGTAAAAAAAAAAAAAATAAATAAATTGTGGATAATTTTGGCAATATTCGCTTTAAAACTGAGGTGCATAAAATCAGATCAGTGAGGCCTACGATCAATCAGTCTCAAAAACAAACACAAAACCTGTGCTAATTAAAAGAAAACAAACTGATAAAAGGATTGAATCAATGATTTGGTAATAATTCCGCATAATACAAAATTTATGAGCAATTTTTGTAGGTGAGTCATTTTTGATTGGGAACAACCCAAGTGGAACAAGGTGGGAAAAAAACGTTTAAAAAAGTACACAAATTATTATTTTTTATTATAATTTCTAGTCTAATGCAAAAAAAAAAAAAAATCAGGTCGAAAAGTTTTGAATAAAACATGAGTGTTAAATTGAACTGCGAAGACCAAATCATGTTGAACTCAAGTATTGAGTACTTAAGTATTGTAAAATACTGTTTTGGTGTTTTAATGATATTTTCCGGCGCTATTTTGGTATTTTTTGGAGATTGACATACAGACAGTCAATGTATGGAAAAGAGCTGCATAAATATTCTTCAAAATTGCTCTGTTTGAAAATGTATTGTAGGTATTTTTGTGCAAGGATTTCTTTGACTTATTTTTTATTTTTTGTTGCCAGTAAAGCACTTTGAATTGCCCATTGTGTTCAGTGTGTGTGCTATATAAAGAAACCCAGTCAGGCACTGCTGGCATTAATAAAGCCATTCCTTACTGTACCTTGTGGGAAAAGTGAATGTCAGTGTCAGTGAGAGCATGTGAACATGTGAAGCTCATGTAAGCGAAGCTAGACCTGACGGACTGAATTTACAATGTCTCTTTACAACTGTCTCATGAATAGACTGCTGACAACATGATTAAAGCTCGCATCAGCAATTAAATAATTAAAGCAGCATCAAAAGTA